TCTCCTCTCCTCTCCTCTCCTCTCCTCTCTTCTCCTCTCCATTCACAAAAGCTTTGTTTCCATGTTTTCCTTTTCTCACCTTTTTTCCCTTCCCCCTCCCCTCTTTCTTATTCCCTTCCCCATTTGAACATCTTCTTCCTGTTTTACACTACCTATTATACACTTGGGTTCTTATTTTACACTTCTGCTATCTCACACAAAAATGTTTTTCTTCTAAGACTTAAGTGTTTTCAGCAGATAGGTACACAGTGCTAGTGGTTTATGTGAATGATGCAAAGCACAGGAAGAAAAGTCTTAGCACAATGCCTGGAACATTGTAGATGTTTAACAGATGTATGTAGCAATTTGAAGGAAAAACTAGCAACTCAGTGTGTTGCTGAGCTGAGCACTTTTTTCCATCAGCTGTTCTTTTCAGCCTCATGGCCACCTAAGGCTTCAGGATTTGGGGGCATTAGAGTTGTTTGCTTAGGGGTGGTGCTGGCAGTTGAACTCCAATAAGATTGTGAGCAGTAGAACCAAAGAAGACTTAACATCTAAAAAATGTTCTATGAAAAAAAAAGAAAGTATAATATTTATAAAGGAAAAATGAAACAGAAGAATGGAAAAGAAATTTTAAATGTTTTTCTTTCTTTTTTTCTTAGCTTGTGAATGCACTGAAAACAGTATCCACATTTGAAGTCCAGATTGTTGATTACAAGTACAAGTAAGTGAAAAACACACTGAGGTAAACAGTGCTTCGTTTTGCTTGATTGAGTTAATGGTGGCCAGAAAGCATTTTTCCAGGGGGAGCTGTAGGTACTTCTATACCTAGAAGTAGACACCGCCCCTCTCAGTTACTTTCTCATTGCTGGGATAAAATACCCAATACCCTTAAGCTAAAGGAGCAAAGTTTTATTTTAGCTCAACTTGTAGAGTTTCAGCTCATCATTAGCTGGGTACAAGGCAGAGTGATATGGCAAAGGGGCCTGGCACAGGAGAAATGGTTTATAGCAACTGGACAGGCAGGAAGCAGCAGCAGCGAGCCTCCCTTTTCCTTTTTATACCATTTAGACTATTGGCTGGTGCCACTCAGAGCCAGGGTAGGTCTTCTGTCTTTAGTAAATCCATTCAGCCATACCCAGAACCATGCTAATCCAGTCAGTGGACTGGTCCAGTACCACACATCCTCAATCCAGTATTACCCCCTTCATTGAGTGTCACATACCTGTTTTGTTGAAGTCATTGTGCTTTCCCATTTCAGATACCTACTGAAGTTCCCCCTTACAAATAAGAACAGTGGTGCCTCAATTCATGAACTTAATATATTCTGTGATTTTGGAGAAGATGGTCATGTTATAAAGGGCCTGCTTAGGCAGATGCAAGGGCCAGGGATTCAATTCCTGGGCCTGCCGTGCTGACCCCACCCCTAGGGCACCCTGAGACAGTGAATGAGACTGGGTGTGGTGGCATAGGCCTATTATCCTAGCACTTGGGAGGCTGTAAACAGGAGGATCACTATGAGCCCGATCTACACAGTGAGACTCTGTAGACCCTGTACTAAAAGTACAAAAAAAAAAAAAAAAAAAAAAAAAGATGGTCATGTTTGTGTTTGTAGGGAAAAGACACAAACAAAAACAAAATTTTTGCAAACATTTCTCTTTGTGAATCACATTATTTGCAAATAGGTGTTTATGAAATAAGATACCACTGTATACTTAAATCTAAAAAGGTAAATGCATTAACATAGAAAAAAGTTAAACTATTAAAAAATGAGTTATTATTTAGTAGGGTGTACTTAACTAGGCAAAACATATAGACATGGAATTTGATTTAAATTGGCAAATATACTTTCATAAATATTGTGACCATGATTCATGAGCTAACACAATGTAAGCCTTCTTCCTTCTCGTTGTCTCTCTTGTATTATTCTACATATTACAGAGAACTTGGGTTTTTAGATCAACTCAGGATAACACACAATACAGACATATTCATTGGAATGCACGGAGCTGGTCTCACCCATTTACTTTTCCTTCCGGACTGGGCAGTGATCTTTGAACTGTAAGTGTTTAGGGGCAGTTTTCCACATGGGTAACTTAGTATTTTAAGGTTATTATAAACTTCCAATGCTATATAAGACATTTTAAAACAGTACATATTAGAGATGTAGTCAGGGAACTGTGTTTTATCTTAACTCATTTCTCCTAGAGGAAGCGAGAGAAGGATAGGAGAACGGAGGAAGGGAGCACTTGTACAGCCTTGTATGTGCTGCACCGCATCCTCCTTCCACAAGCATACAGGCATGATATCCTGTGAGGTGATGTCAGTTCATAGGTAGCACTGAGGAAAGACCCGTCAATAAGGTCAGTCCCCTCCAGTCCTTGTTCTTATACTTTTTTGTAAAGTTAACATAAAATTCTTACAAGATTTTTTAAAAATATATTTTTATATATTTTTTAAAAAGTTCTTTGCAGTGCTAGACATGGAGCTGAGGGCCTCACACAGAGGTGAACACTTTACCATTGAGCCCCAGAATATTTTTAATTTTGATTTTTCTCAGTCTTCACAAAAAAAAAAACCCTTCCAGGAACATATATTAGAGGTGTGTTTTCCCCCCAGAGAATGGTAGATTTTGCCCAAACCCTGGACAGAAGCCTCATGCTGATACCTGTCTTTGTCTTTAGATACAACTGTGAAGATGAGCGCTGTTACCTAGACTTGGCCAGGCTCAGAGGTGTTCATTACATCACTTGGCGGAGACAGAGCAAAGTCTTTCCTCAGGACAAGGTAAAAGTTCAATCACAAAGCTCACCTTGTTACACGGACAGGGTTTAAAATTAGAAATGATCACTGAGCTTCTACCCAAAGATAAACTCTTCTACCATGGAAAATGGGTTGTTGTAGTTTATATTTGCAAATTGAAGATTTTAATGTTGTTAAGACTGCTTTGTGAAGTTTGGGCATAGAAAGATCTAACAGATTAGATACACCAGGAATCAGCAAACTGTACCCTCAGGTACAAACCTGACCCCCCCATCTGTTTTTGTAAATAAAGTTCTCCTAGAAAGTTCAGACATGTGTTTGTATATTGTCTGTGACTGCTTGTGCACTTCAGGAGCAGGGCTGTACTGTGAGTGAGAGCCTAGTGAGAGCCTGTTTCTAGAAAATGCTTGCCAACCTCTCGTGCTTACAGTGAGTTAAGATGATTGCCTTAGCCAAAGTAAAATAAAGTTCTTGCTCTTCTACCACGTCCCTAGCATCTGAAGGATTTGTGCTCTGGTTTGGCTTTGCAGGGCCACCACCCAACCCTGGGGGAGCACCCCAAATTCACCAACTATTCTTTTGATGTGGAGGAATTCATGTCGCTCGTCCTTGAGGCTGCGGATCACGTCCTGCAGCACCCAAAGTGGCCCTCTAAGAAGCGACGTGATGAACTGTAGGCGTGCTGCATCTGGCTTTGGGAGGAGACCCTCCAAACCCTCACACCCTCACACGCTCAACAAGCTGCTCTGTCCTAATGCAAATGACCTTTTCTACACCAAAAGATACCCTCGGGATATTTTGTGTTACATGGTCTTTATGTGTTTTGTATGGTTGTTATGTCGTTGGTATTTATCAATGGCTATAATATTTTTGCACTGAAAAAATTTAGTTTTTATAGTTAAAACTGGGCAGAGGCTCCCTTGTATAACCGAACTTTCTTTTTAAGAATACCAAAGTTTTCAATTTTCTCAGCTTTAGAATTTGTAAATGGTTCTGTAAAATGTGTGATTGCAATTCCAGAGTGTTTCCACTTGTTTATGATATATATATATATATATATCTCCAAATCTTCCATTTTATTTGCCATAATCTGTTCCTAACACTGATTATGGGGAGGGGGGAGAAAACATGCACCACACACACACACACACACACACACACACACACACACACACACAAATACACATTGTGATTCTCAAGCTACAGGACCATGTTACAGATCAGTGTTTAGTCAGTGCCAGATTATTTGCATGCTGCTGTATAATTTATATCCACAGATTTCATATTCAAATCATGTGCTCCCAAAATACAGTAGCTACATGTCATATGAACCAATGGGGACCTTCTGCAGTAATCTGTTGTGTATTTTGTAGCTGGATTCCACTGACTTTTTTTAGCTATAAAAAGTATTTGTGTTGAATTTCTATATGAAACAGTGGCTTATTTTGTTCAAGCATTTGCAACTGCATACAATATGTAGGTATCTACCTCTATTAGGACGGAAGTACCCTAGTCTTTGATTGTATGAACTTCAAAGTAGCCACATGAAGAGAACTTTTCCTTATAAAAAGTTAGGACTCTAAAAATGAAGACATATGAATTATCCAGTCAAAATGAAAAGCTATAAGAAAGTGCCAGTGTTTAAAAAGAATATCTAAATCATAGTCCTGCTTTTTGAATAGGATTCGTTTCTTACTGTGTAGGAACTTTCAATTTAGATATTAGAAACCATGTGTTATACTGCCCATTGAGAGGTTTACATTTCACTACCACTTGAGTGACCCCAGTTAGTAACAAAATATGTCTGGATCTTCGCTGATCCTTGTGTTAAAGGATTATGTGTAGATTTCTAGAGTGTAGTAATATTTATTAAAATATCTGAAAGAAAAATAGTGGGAGTCGGGGAGATGGCTCAGTAGAATAAGTGCTTCCCTGGAAAGTGCAAGGGCCTGAGTTCAATCCTTGGTTCCTCAAAAACAAGAACAGCAAAAAAATAGTGTATCACTCTAGGAAAAGCTTTGATTTGGATCCTAAACCTATACAAAAAGATTGATAACATTATGAATTTTTAAATAACAGGTATTGCTGCTGTTCTTAGTGTAGAACAGTAAGTAATCGCTGGGAAATATTCCCTATGAGAAAAACTGTAAAAGCTAATTTGCACTTTGAGTCAGTGGGGCATAAACATCTGAAAATTTGTCTGGAAAAAGTTTTATTATTTATCTTCTTACCTCATTTTCAGAAGCATATAGAAATATGGTTCCATAAACTATGGAGGATTCAGAAATTGAGAACATTTTTATAATAAAACTATATTTGAATAATTGGTATTAAAGAAGATACATTTTATATAAATAAGAAAATACATCTGACAATTTATGTATTTAACTTGTATTGGACATTTTTGGTAGAATCAAATGAAGGTCTTTGAATTGTTAAAACATTTAAAATGGAAAGACTGCTTTTTATTAAGTCTTAAAGGGGGATACATTTCATAATTTGTACATTTTGTACATGGTTTTGGAATAAATCTTTTTGTATTTCATTTAAATATCTGAACTATTTTCAGAGTTCTCTGTGCCTGAGTGTTATAGACTGTACTTGTTTCCCCCTGCCCAATCTGGTATCCTGTAGACTATACAAATTAAATAGCTTACTGATGAAAAATTCAGTTCAATTGAATAAATATATTTATATATATACCAATTTTTTTTTTGTGTGTGTGTGGCCAGCTCAGCCTACCCTGGGGGCAGGGCTGGCACATCATTTGGTACCAGGGATCAAACCACAGTCCCTATATGCTTGCCTAAGCTTGCCTAAGCATGCATGTTAGACCGCTGAGCTATCTTGCCGGCCTATATACCAGCTTTTTATCTAGTGCTTTCCTGGATGTTACATTGCACAGTCTTTACCAGAATGATGTAAGAATTAGGGAGCCGGGACTTCCCTAATGATCCCAGGCTTCGGGCTCTACTGCACAGCCTTCTATTCATTCCCTTACTTGCTCATTCAGTGCATGTTGATCGAGCCACTTCTGTGCAGCAGGCACTGTTCTAGGTTCTGGGGATTCAGTATGGGGGTCCTCGTCCTCATGGAGCTTACATTCTGGGGGAGGAGACATACTAAACAACATCAGTAATTGAACTATGTAGTATGCTTGATTGGGATAGGTACTGTGGAGAAAAGTGAAACAGGAAAGAGGGATGTGAAGTTGGGTGGGGTCCTGCACACTTGAGCATAGTGTCACCTGAGGCCTCATGGAAGATATGACATTTGAATTAAGTGGGAGGAAGGAGAAGGGCACAGAGCCACTGAGGAAGACAGAATGTGGCCTTGAGGGACACCAAGGAAGCTGGTACAGCTGGTGTGGTCACGGGAGAGCAGGTAAGGTTGCAGAGGCAATGGGGTGGAATAGCAGGTGGCTCTTGTCCTGGTCTTGAGTGAGATGAGGGCCACTGAAGGGATGTTGTCAAGGCAGTCTGGACCTGTCGTGGCCTTGGGCAGGGTAACTCCAGCTGGCCTGCTGGGACAGACTGTAGAGTACTGTCTAAGGGCATGATGTACATACAGGCGAGTGCCCGAGGGGACTCTGCTCAGGGCTCAGCACCTGGGAGGAAATAGGAGCTCTGGCTTGGACAGAAAGGAGCCGAGCTGCTCAGCTGCAGTAGGTGGGACCACAGAGGTGCTGTGGAATTGGGCATCTCTCCGTGGGTCCCAGAAGCAGGCAGAGGTTGTCCCTATCAGTAAGGCCCAGCATGGGGCTGTTGGAGAGCAGTGCATCAGGTGAGGGGAGAAGAGCTCAGCAAAGACCCACTGACGCCAGCCTTTGCAGCTGGGGTGGAGCCAGGTGTGGGGATGCAGCACGGGCACAGGGAACATCTGGGACACTGCAGTGTCTGCTGCTGCTGCATGGTGAGAAGCATTCTTTAACTTGGTCCTGTCTCCCTTCTGCTTCCTATGAACTGGTCGTACATCTTCATTAGGTTCTGGTTTTATTTCTAATTTTTTTTCTAAAGAATGCATATAGATGATACCACAAGCTTAAAGTTGTAGAACACAAGAGGCAGGGGCAGCACAGTTTTTGGCTGCATAGTATTTAGTATTTTAATTTTTCATAGATCTTATATGATCTCTGTTGAGTATTGTTAATTGTTCTCTCACCTGTGCAGTATTTTTCAAAACTTTAAAGAGCATCTTTTAGATGTCTAAATGGAGAGCAGAGAAGTTAAGGAACTCACTAAAAGTCACATCGTCAGTAGGTTGCAGATGGATTGAATATAGGACTTTTTTGGTAAAAGAATTTAAACAGGAATGTTTGTATGTGATACAAGGAAGGAAGGATGAGGGGTGAGGAAGAAAAATCAGTTGTGTGCATACAGGGAAAGGGAGCGGAGAAAGTCATCCCTCAGGCTAGGTAGGCCCTTTCTTGCAGTTTCCAAGTAGTTTTTCTTGAAACAGACAATACAGAGGAAATTTGAAAAATATTTGCTGCTTCTCAACTAGGAGGACACAAGGAAATCATCTCAGCCATGCTTGCCTTGGAGAACTCTGTCATTTAAAATAGCCAGTGTTCACCAAAGCCATTTCTAGAATCCTCTACTGCCTCTTTTCTCTTGTTTACTGGGGTACGTGGGAAGATGGGGTAACCATTCTTGTCTGAAACAAAGAGAGCAACCAGGCGGCTGGGTGGTTGTCTATCTCACCCCCACCTTTTGCTCCCAGTGCAGCCCCCCTGCATGAGGTCTAACTAGCAATTTAGAGGCCCATGGCTTCTGGGTCCTGGTGATGGGGCTGGCATCATCTTGGGGGATGGTACATGTCAGTCCAACTCCACACAGAGGACCACTTAGCCAGCAGCTGGAGAATGGGCCATTTGGAACGTTGGACAGAAACCCAAAGAGCAAAACTGTCAGAATTCACTTGTGGAGAACACAAGTGAATTGGCACGAGATCCAAAAGACTTTGAGGTGCCCCAAATTACTGCCCATTCTTCTGGATACCCACCTGCTCCATATTTTTTTCCTCACTGAATTGGGTACTCCTCGGGTGCTTGTCACTGTCCCCTGTGTCCCCAATTTTGCAGCTCCTAAAGGTCACCACCATCTTACCGCAGGCACCTGTCTGGCCTTCCATGCCCTGGTGTGGCCTGCTATCTTCTCTTCCCTGTGTCCTACTCCTACAGTGTCTGCAAGGTTCCCCTTTTGGGTCCTGCCTTTTACCATCACCTGAAGAAGACACCCCATGCATTGGATACCAATTGTCACCTGTGTCGCTGTCAGTCCATCTGCAGCTGTGTCCACCTCAACTCTTTTAACACGCTTATATTTCTGGCAAAGCCTAACGCATGGGCTTTGTCTTTAACTTGTTAATGCTCGCAATTTTAATAAAGCATTTAAAATACTATTTAAAAAAAGAAAAAGAGCAGAAGCAGTTGCTGGGTTTAGCATTTACATGCTTTGGACAGTAGCACCCTTTCGACCACAAGGTGGCAGGAAAGCCTTTGCAAACCATCTCTGGGCCCGCAGCTCCCTATATGAATCTTAGCTTAGATCCTGGCACCTGAGTACTGAGAGTAACACTTGGTGTCTGTGTGTGATCAATTTTTTTTTTTCCATTTCTGATTTGAAAGAATGTAGGAAAATTATATGAGCACTTTTCAGGTTTAAGTGTAGACATATGAAGGGCAGTTAGCACCCGCGAGCTGTGTATTACCTCCTGACTGTCAGGGGGACAAGGGCTGGCTCCCTGGACGGGGCTCCCTGTGGCAGAGCCATGGGTGGGATGTGTGCCCTTGACTTGCTGGAGAAGGGAGCTGGGACAGAACCTCTGTTCAGAGCCTACTGAGAGCACTTTCACTCTTCCAGAAGCCAATTGCCGTGTCATGGTGATCTCACTTTTAAGGTATCATGGGTATAACTGCTATGATCATTTTATTTTGAGTGGAACCAAACTAGGCAGCGGAGTTCATGGAAAGTCAGAACCCTTGGATGACAAGACATGAATTGAGGAGTGCTGTTAGGCAGAGAAGGGTGAGAAATGACACTACCAGGGCACGACCCAGGCAGTCTCCTTTTGGCATCCAGGCCCAGAATTTGGGGGCATTCATAGCCAGAGAAAGGCAGAGCAAATGCAGGAGCACAGAAACCAGAAGGTTCGAAGTCTTTAGTCTTGCAGCATCACACTGCATGACCATGGGCTGCTGCCTAGTTCATGGAGCTTCCATTTTCTTATTTACACACTGGTGTCAATACATAGCAGGCAGGTTCACTTAAGAATGTAATAAAAAAGCCACACTTGGTTTAGTGTCTGGTGCATAGCATGTGTTTAGTAAATGCTATTATTATTTGATGGCATAGAGAATTATTATTTTGGGTTTTGTACCTAGAGAAAAAAACTTTTCCTTTTTATTTTTCATTTTCATGTATTTGGTACAGGGTCTCATTACACAGCTCAGACTCATGGTGATCCTTCTGTTTTCAACCTCCCCAGCAACCTCTCGGTGGCTGGCTTAGCATGCCTGGGGGTGGGGCCAGTGCAGCATGTGGTGCAGGGGATCGAACCCGGGTCCTTGTGCTTGCCTAAGCAGGTGCTTAGTCTGCTGAGCTAACTCAGCTGCCCCAGAGCATTTAATTTTCATCTCCAGATCAAATAGCTCAGAATGTCTGGTCCTACATGATTCTGGAACCATCTGTCCCTAGATGGTTCTGGCCTAGAGTGATCAGGAACTGCTGGTTTAGGAGACTAACAAAGCTGGAGGCAGCGGGCAGTCCGGGAGGTCTAGGTCAGCATCTGCCAAAGTATCTTGCGCTGGTGTCAATAGGATGTTGTATGAAAAATGAGTTACTTGGGAAATGTTGCCCCAAGATAAACAGAATTTATTGCGGACTTTTCAGCAATTTGGTATCGTAGTTTCATTATGAGTCTCTGAGCAGGAAGCTAGAATGTGCACCGTGCTCATGTTTATTTAACCATAGAATTATTTTCTCAGGAGGTATGAGAATTGGTATTGCAAGTGTCTGCCTCTGGACGGGGCTGTGAGCAGGGCAGATGCTCACGCCAGCCCACCAGAGGGGACGGGGTTGCTCTGGTGAGCTGCGTCTTTTGATGGATTAAAACAGTTGTGCTACTTGGGCTCAGGTGATGGGTCTGAGGATCAACAGCTGAGCCAATCTGGATGCTGCAATACCAAAGGTAAAACAAATGATCCCCTGAGATGGTTTTAGTTTGGTACATTTCTCATTTGATGAAGTGAATGCCAAACCCTGGCACAGAGACACCAGACCTGAGCTATTGGGTCTTCCTATGAGAGATGCTATTACGAGCCACTTTTCAGATACTTGTACACTCAGGTTGGGAAGTAGATTATCTCTTACAGTCTGAAAGATCTTCACTAATACAGCATTACAATGCTGTACTTACAATCCCCACACACCACCCTGGAGATGGAGGCTATCTGAAGTTGAGGATGTGAATGTGACTGTGTTACTCCAGGTTTAGTGTCAGCCAGCGACATGGATGCTGTTGCCTCTCAAGTTCAGCTCACCAATCAGC